GGGCGTAACGGCGCTTTTCAATCACCTTTCTCCCTATCTGTAGTAGCAGCAGCAGATTACATTGACCAGGCTAAAAGCTTCTCAATTTCGTAACACTCCCGGCCAACATGAGAACAGTTACCAGCAGCGTCCCGGTATCCGGTGGAGACCCTCGTCAACCGGAAACATTCTTATCCTCTTCTCCTACAACAAGCAAACAGCAAGCGGATAGCGGCATCAAGCAGGCTGGTCGGAGCTTTCGGCTGACGCGGGCACTACCCCGCAACCCCACCGAACAAAATTAATATTTCACGCACCGAATCTGGGAGCAAGTCCTGCGTAACGAAATTAGTCCTTCGGATGCTGTCGAACTGCCGATCGGGCCCTGCTACACCCTACACTTACCACTCCGCCCTTTTCCTATACCTTCGTTAAGTAATGCGGAATTCCGCTGGATAGAATATCCCAATCCGATTGCGAATCTTATCTGCAGGATTTTCATCACCAGACCCGTACATTAAGAAGCGAGAGTTCCTCGGAATTTTCTTTAAGATGAAAAATGGAAAATTGTGAATTGACTCGGTTGTACGCAACGGACTCAGACTAGGCAGAATGAGCCATTCAAGGATTTGTTTATCTCCTAATTCTCATAGTGTGTAGTGAGGATCAAAGTGCAACCACAGCTTAGATAAGAATCAGCTAGGACTAGGACACTACCCTGTCACTGTCAGAAATGGTAGCCATTTGGGTGGTGAAAATCGCAGGTTTTAGTGTTCTGTGTTCGATAGTCCTAGCCGGTCTTGCCACATACCATGCCAGCGGCCGCAGATATTCTCTGCAATCAAACATTACAATATTCCGATATGATTTTGTGTAGTTTGTGTGAACCAATAATGAAGAGGAGTCGGTCCAAAAAGAAGAAGCAGAGTAATGATGAACATGTATTTAAGAAAATTTATGAAAGAGCTCTACAATAAACTAATTGTGGAAGACAGATAATAGACAATAAACAGAAAGTTTTTACTTTTCCTATGTATTCTTTGCTGTTCCCATATTCTCATTCTGTTGCATTTTCAATAAAGCTCTGTGGAAAACACCAGGCAGTCACAGCATTCACGGAATCACAAACATTTCCGTGTCTTTGTCGCGAAAAAAAAAACTACTTACAGCGACTTGTTAACAAAGATGTATCTCCATGGCGAGTTTTCAATCTATGTAATCGGTCTATAGTACTTATATTTCAAACATCTAAAAAAGTTAGTTATGAGAATTGTAAGTAATTGTTTGCTCCTTGCTGAAAGATGTGCCATTCCTATAGGGTTATTCATTATTACGTTACAACACAGACATACCTTATTTAAAATGGAATGTCCTTTTTTTATTTTTCGCTTACTCTAAACAAAAACTATACAAACACCATAAATCAGATCGATGAGCTTTAGAGAGACCCTTAGATATAATTTGCTACAGGCCCGCGGTGGCTTAATAGAAAATTATTTCAAAACAATATTTTTGTAAATGGCAAAAAATTAATTGCTGACAAATCACACTCAGGATGCTTCTACATAAATATGAGACAAGCACACGTCTAAAACGTCTCAAAAGTGAAATACTTACATTACGGGACTGTTCCCATTTGGGAAGTCGCCGCCAGGGACTGTGGGATCTGAAGCTCATTTTATCAAAAGATCTCTACTCTGTAAAAGTGATTAACATACAAGCCGTCAAGGTTTAGTATCTTTTACGTACAAAATATCCTGTAGCTAAAGAAGTAGCAGTGCAAACTATTGTAGTATTTTTTTATATCGAAGCAGCTGCGCCTAAATTCCGGAACACCGCGGCTGCTATGATGATCTCAAAGAAATTTTTTTAATACGATTTTTGAACTGCCTAAGGTTAGTAGAACTGAGAAAAGCTTCCTCTTGTAGATTGTTCCACAATCTCGACACCCTCGGGACAAAGGAGCGGTCAATCGGCCAGTTCTGGTGTACTAAGTTTAACAC